CTCTAGCCCAAGGGAAAAGGTCGAAACATTGTCTTCGTTTTCGGACTAGTAGGCCGAGTTTCTGTTTGTATCCATTATTGTCGCGAAATATATTATTTTCCCCCGCGCTAACAATGGCCGCTCGCGCGAAAAAAACATTTCTGGCGAAGTCGGATTTGCTGACGCTATCAGCGTGCACTATCGGGATTTTGAGCACGCTCACGTATAATGAATTTAATTGCGCGACTCTCCTAGCTATGTTCTAAATCATCTTGGCGTACATTAGTTAACAATATAGCATTCCCCTATACTTTCGTGAGGTACACTCAATTTCTCAATTTTTCATTTCCAATCGCTCCTGCGGCTCCGACTCTATAAACTCTCGTAAAATCGCCCGGTTAGGTAATCATAGGTACTTTTACGAGCTAGTGGCACTGTAAATGCATCCAACAGGTTTGGCTCTATCTCAAAGGACACAGTGAGCGAAACCGATCATGCAACGCAAAAGCGAACATGTACCTTTTGAGCTTATTTTGACAGCTTCAGCGTATTTCGCTGCAAAAATTAATGTGGGCAATCAGCTTCAAACGAAACCCTGCTTGCAAAAATTGAGTGGAATTAAAGAATGGATGAGTATAAAATTGTAATTCTTTCCTAAATCGAAAGTGTTATTTTTTGTCCAAGAGCTACCTTATTACCAACAATATGATCCCACACGATTATCAAACCTGTTTGTATTGCCGTATCTCATGTCAAATGATAAATTTCACGTCATAAACCAATTAATTCTCTTACACTTGCCAATCGTTGTCTATGGTCGGCATTATTTCACCCCTCCTTTTTGTAAAACCTTTACTCACAAGGATTTCAGTTTGACTAGTCTCATTTCGATTCCACTTGATTTTTAGTTCGTGGCGAGCCCAAACTGTCAATTTGTTCTTGACGAAGTCATCTACCACGGAAGTCCTGGTTGGCGAAAAAGGGGAATCGTGATCAAAACAGCCTGGTGCCTGCTCCAACTTTTGCTCGTTTTCGTCACATTCCTCGCTTACTTCCCATTAAAGTCAATTCGTAAGAATTTCCCGTCCTGTAACTGCAAAAAGCTAAGAATGTTATATGAGCATCCTTACTCGAAGTTTCTTAACCATACCTTGTCATACATGATATTTCTGGCTTTCATTTTTGCATCGTCTTTTGAATACAAGTTCGGGCCTGGTGGAGCAGGCCTGAGTTGGATTGGTAAGTGGACTTCATTTGAGTGATCCAGTTCAAATCCAGGCTACTATAAAGAATGAAACCATGATCTGAACAAAATCAAGTTTAGTTTAATTCGATAGGAAGTATATTAATAAGAAGTGTAAGAGACAAATTTCTCAAGACAAAAAAAGTCGCGATTTATCTTGACATTTCCGACCCATAACAACACAGTTGGAGTTTTCTAATTTCTTTTTGAGTACAGCTGTTTCAAAACCCGTAATATTGTCCATTAGTGCGAAGACATATCGAAGACTTTACTGATTAAATCCAGAGAACCATTGCCTTAGAAAGATAGACATCATTACAACGGACATAGTAGGTAGATGGGAAAGGAGGCTCTGCACCTTATCAAGCGATTTTGATGCATTTAGTAAATGTGAATTATTGCGGACGATCTCTCATGCTTCTGCTATTGTTCATAGGTAAAAACAGAGAGTACATCTTCTAGTTTAGTTATAAATTGACTACTGACTCCTATCTACAGATTGGGTAGTATTCGCTTTTGTCAGCGGGCTATTCATACAGGAATTCCTGGAAGTCTGCAAGCAAGGTCCGTTCATTTACTTCTCAAAATGGTGGAATGTTACTGATACAGTGATTATCCTCACATTCATTGTGGCCTACTCTGTATCGTGGGTCGCGTGGATTGTTTATGGAGAGTGGAGACCTGAAGAGAAACTATTCATCGTAGCAGATGCCATTTATGCCAGTGCCTCCATCATGGCCTATTTTCACTTGGCGCACTTGTTCCAAGTCAGTTCAACGCTGGGTCCCTTGCAGCTATCCCTTTACAAAATGTTGAAAGATGTCCTCAAGTTTCTCGCCATCTTTCTCGTTCTCTACTTTTCGTTTGCAACCGGGGTGGCCAAGATTTACTCGTACTATGTCGCCTCTGAGATAGAACTCAAAAAGCAGGACAACAGAACCACTTATTACCAAGTTTCTCACCCATTTGCCTTGTGAGTATTCCAAAATATCTTTGGATTTTTCTCATGGATGGTTGCTAAGCTAAATTTCCGTCTCAAACTGTTACTAACTGTAAACCATTTTGTTTCATGCTTATAATTCAATTAAAAAACGTTACCATCAGTGAAATATTTGATATATTTTCCAGAATATTAAGTATTTTTATTTCCCACTTCTGCCTTTTCATTCTCCTTTGCCTACCAAGAGACGATCACGGACGATCAACAGACACAGAAATTAACTAAAAGATACTAACGTGTTCCCTCACCTTCTTTGTAGACATACAAACACTTTCATTGTCTTGTTTTGGAAGCTGTTTGATGGTGGTGGACAGGAGGAGAGCATTTCAGTGCAAGATAAAAGGTTCACTCTTATTACCGAATTTGGCCGCGTGTTTATGGGAGCCTACGTCATATGCACCATCCTTGTAGCCCTCCACATGCTGGTTGCTATGATGAACGAAACATTCCACAAAATCAAGGTAAGTTTCCGGGGTTATTTTGATGCCAAGTTATTCTGCAACAAACTGAAAAAATACACCATAAAGTGACTACAAATCAACCCGAAAAAATTTAGGTGTCTCTGCAATCACAATACAAGCATTTTTTCTATAGGATAATTTGGTTTTATCAACTGAGTTGATGAGGCATACTGGCCACCGGAAATAGTTTCTAAAGCTGAAGTTCCGAACGTTAACCCTTTATTGAAGCGAAGCGACGTCGGGTGCTCGGGTGCTCGGAAGGAAGGCTAACGTTCGGAACGTCAGCTTTAGAAACTCTTTGGGTCGCCGATTTACATTATCAATCCATACGTATGATGCACGATCCTTCGCAGTAGATAGCGCTATTTATGCAATAGCGAAAATCAGACCTGAAAAAAATCAGGCCAGTACGGGATTCGAACCACTGACCTCTGCGATACTAGTGCAGCGCTCTACCAATTGAGCTAACAAGCCAACTGGGAGCAGGCCGTTAAGTTGATTCGTAATAAACCCGTGATGCATAAATAGCGCTCTCTACCTGTATTGCATAAATAGCGCTCTTTACTGCGAGGATCGTGCATCATACGTATCTATAACCGCAGTTCAAAATATATGGAACTTCATATATTCATCGTAACCAAATAATCTCCTTGTTAACCATTAGCCAATTAGGACAGTGCGCAGTGGACAGAATAAAAGAGAAGAGCATTTTTATACCTTAAACTTTCTTCTATAAACCATTGTATACTCTGAGTCAACACAAAGTACTTGGGTTGATTTTGGTAGAGCGCTGCACTAGTATCGCAGAGGTCAGTGGTTCGAATCCCGTACAGGCCTGATTTTTTTCAGGTCTGATTTTCGCTATTGCATAAATAGCGCTATCTACTGCGAAGGATCGTGCATCATATGTATTTAATACCGCAGTTCAAAAATATATGAACTTCATATATTCATTGTATCTGATTATCAATTCAGTTAAGAAAACCAAATCATCTCGTAATACTCTTATCAACGCAGCATCACACTTTCGCCAGAAACTTCCCCCCTTTGTTCATTAAACTTTTCTTAAACTTTGCAAAACGATCACCATGGGAAAAATGGTTTTGACTTTATATGAGATAGTGATGACACCCGAAATCGGTTCAGAGTCACAGGCAGAAGAAATTATTTCCTTTAAATTCAAAGGCACCCTTAACTTACTTTAAATTTAAATTTTAAATTCCCATAAATTAAAAGCGCTATCATAAAAGTCTGACAGTAATCCCCCCGTATCCTTTGCTCAGAGAAATATTCTGGGCTTCACATTGAAATCACCAACGACTGAGCTTATTGTTATCTCTATGTTTATTCAAGACTGAAATAACCTCTCTGCTTTTTTCAGCGAAACGTTGATGAAGAGTGGAAATTCTCAAGAACACAAATGTGGCTGGAATGGATCGACAAAGGCAGCTCTGTTCCGGTTCCACTCAATATTCTTTATTTCGCTCTGCGCCCTGTGTTTTGGTTTCTGTGTGGCTGTTGTAAATCACTGTGTTTCACATGCAAAGAGGTACGGAGTTTAACTATAAACTTCCCCACCCCTACTTTGGTCTTCTTTTGATATCTAATGTTTCCGGCATCCAGCGTTTGAGTGTACAGAGAGCCGAACTGTTAAATTGGCCAGTTTAAATTATTTGTCTTACCATTTGGAGAACGTAATAATAAGCAGTGTAAAGTTGGCAAAATCTTTAACACTCATTCTGTATTCAAAGTGTTTTAATTTCCTTGTGAAGAAATCGGTCTAATTTTTTGTGAGAAGGATTTTAGTAACAAAACTTAGAAAGATGAAAAGATTCTGTGAGGATTTGTATGCCCACTTCATGGTAAATAAAATAAAAAACTGGTTTGAATTCATGCGTCAGCGTGCGTTTATTGAGATGTGAGGCACGCAGGAAGTTTGGAGAGCGTCAAAGAGGCATAAGAGTTGTTGAAAGCGCTGCTAGAAGCATCGTTGGCTTCTTGAGTGCTCCCTTAAGTTCTCAAGTGGTTCATATCTAGTAGTTTGATATGTTTTATAGAGCGAACACCTCTCCACTCTTTTCTTCTTACCATATTTTGACGTCATTTGAGATACATAACTGAACAGACGAAGGGCAACATGGAATCTATTAGTTAACTGTACTGTCTCGTAACTTCATTACTTTTTTTAAGCCAAAACAGAATGACGGAAACACATGTTGCTGCGGGAGCGCATCCTTACATCAATATAAAGACGCATGCTCAAGAGAAGATATTCCTGGATTCGAAAGATTTGACCTCTCCAAGAGGCCAGAAACTCCCGTTAATAAGGTACCCTTCATAATAATTTTGCTTGTTTGTTTATTTGTTATTATTTGTTACGGGGTAACATATCGGAAAGTACCTAAAGCCGCTACAGTAACATAATTACTTAAACCTGGTTTGAAAAACTTAGAGACTGATTATACCTCGTGTGTTACGTTTGGAAAATGATAAAACTAATTAATACTCAGAGCTAACCAATCAAAGTGCGCGAAATTAACTCTTCCCTTGTGCGGCATTTTCACACTTATTAATAAAAGAATCCATTTGGGGCAAAAATACGTTTGGATATTTTTACGTGATCAGTAATTATTCGGAGAGGCAGAGTAGCCTTCAGAACAGATCTAAAAGTCCCAGGACAAAGACAGGACTATCTCTGGATCGTAATAGGTTCTACTTCATTTATCACCCTTTCTTGCTGGGTTCCCTGCTGTTTTTGCGTTTTCCCGCCCTTTTTGTCACATGACATCATCACATGACCTTAGCCGCTCAAGAATGTTCCGTTTTTGTTATCTTTGGGAGGCATATTCCCTCGAGTAAAGAGGTCTGATGAGCAGATAGAAAACCAAGAAAGACGAATTTTGGTCGTTTAAGTTTTGGTCCTTACACCCTTCAAGTATTTTTTTGAGTGGGACAAAAGGTTTAGAAACAGGTTGGCGTCAAACACTTGTAAAGCGATGGATGAGGATACTTGATGGATTATGATTAACAATTATTCACCGAAGTGGAGCTATGAAGCGGTGAACATTTACCGAGCTGCAAGGCTGCGAGCTAAATATCCACCACTTTCAGCGATACTAAGGTGAATGGTGGTTTTTGTAAATACCACACCTGAACCAAAAACATGATAGTTTAGTTCTCCTCATATACCAAGGAATCATCGGAAATTAAACTCTTTACGCGCGATTTTGTCTTCTCGGCTTCTCAGAGGTGAGAAGTACTTGCCATGCTCTTACGTACTAATCAACCAGCGCGCGAGCAAAGCACCATTTAACTGTGTGGCATATACTAAAGTGAAATATTTCAGTCGAGCCGAATAGAAGAAAATTTATCCATCTGAGTATCAAAAGGAAAGTAAGGACTTCATTTTACCGACTGCTCTAGCAAAAGATGGTTCTAACTCAAAGTCTTGTGTATAATCGATCCCATAAAGTATTCTCACACTTGACTTTCTTCAACCAAACAGGATCGTCTTAAGGCAATGAGAACTTTGGTCAAGGAATATCTGAAGGATCGCTACTCAGAAAGATGGAAGGAATGTAGGGCAGCAACTACGCGAATGCATCTGAAACAAGATCTACCGTTAGTCAATGAACCCAGACGGAACTGATCCTCGATTGCTTTGTTTTGATTTAAATGTTAATAGACTGATTTTTTTATCGTAGTCCGTACAGTTTCCCGAGGTTTTGTGGCAGAATACATCACAGTACTGTTGCCAAGACAGTTCTTAAATTAGGTTTACAAAAACAAGTACTTATATTAGTATGCGTATTCCTCATTCTTCCCCTAGGTGCCCACAAAGAGAATTTGTTTAACAATCTAGAGCGTCTACAGTTGGTGATCATTTCCTTTATCCTTATGAACTTAATGTGTGATTAAGGGGTGATGTTGTTCGAGAAATTAGCTGCCAGTCACTATTATTTGTGGTAGAAATGCTATTTTTCGCAGTTTTAATAAAATGCTAGCTAAAACAGACGCCAAATATTTTTCAATTCTTCACTGCAATATCAGAAGTCTTTCTAAAAACCTAAATTTATTGGAAGAACTATTATACTCCATTGATACCAAAGTGGATATTCTTGGAATTACAGAAACCAAATTGGGTGAGAATTCGGTTAGTAATGTAAATATCAACGGCTATAATTTATTTCACACAGCTCTCCAACAAAGGCGGGTGGAGCCGCTCTGTATATCGCTAATAATCTTAAAGCAGTACCTAGGCCTGATATTAAATTTGATATAACACTAATTGAATCATGCTGGACAGAAATTGATGCTGGCAAAGGTAAAAAGAAGATTATAATAGGCTGTATCTACAAGCATCCTACTTGTGATCTAGAAAAGTTTTGCAACCAACTAAATGATATAATCAAACCAATTAATTCCAATAGGCATGAAATTTACATCTTTGGAGATATGAATATAAATTTCCTGAAATTTAATGAACTCGTCCAAACTGAAGAATTCTTAGATATGCTCTATGCCAACATCTTACCAATCATTACTAAACCTACCAGGCTTACTGATCATACAGCAACACTCATTGACCATATATATACAAATTGTTTTAAAAATCTTACAGCAGGAATCCTGACAGTTGAATTAACAGATCATCTCCCCACTTTCTGCATAGTTAAAACCCAGCCCACGTGGAACAATGATAATAAAATATATTTTCGAGACTATTCTAAATTTAAGAAAGACCCATACTTGGATGATATAAATCAGATTGCTTGGCATGAAATCCTTAATCCCCAAAATAATTTAAATGAGAAGCCAAGGGAGACAATATCCTGATTAAAATTGTTGACAAACATGCACCTATCAGGCTGGCTAGCCAAAGCAAACAAAAGCAACTTAATAAGCCATGCCTCACTAAGGCTTTTTTAAAATCAGTAAAAAGGAAACAGAAAATGTACCGTACACATTACTTAAACAATGACCCAAAAAAAAGGGAATATAAACATTATGCAGCTATTCTTTCACATCTTAAGAATAAAAGTAAGACAGACTATTATAGCATGCAATTCTCAAAGTACAATGATAATCTTAAACAAACTTGGAAACTTATCGGTACTCTTGTTAAAAGGAAAACTAGAGGTCAAACTTTCCCTACAAAAATTACTCATAATAACAGGACTTATTCACAAGAAAAGGACATTGCTGAATTATTCAATAATTTCTTTGTCAACATTGGGCCAACTTTAGCACAGAAAATTAAACCTGATCATACAGACCCTTTGCAACACAGAATCTACACCATCAAACAGCTTCTACCTTGCTCCAGTAACACTAGCACAAGTATTTACATTGTTTGCTGGGCTAAAAGAAAATAAGGCATCACTCACTGTTCCTAATAAGCTTATCAAACTTGCAGCTGAACAGCTCTCTGCACCCTTCACTGAGATCTACAATGAGTCAATATCATCAGGGGAGTTTCCTGAAGCCTTTAAGATATCAAAAGTAACCCCAATATTTAAAAGCGGTAGTGTATCTGAGTTAGGTAATTATAGACCAATAGCAGTTATTTCTCCCTTCAGTAAAGTACTGGAAAGACTAGTATATGACCAGCTTGTGTCCTATTTAGAAAAAGAATGTCTACTTTTTAACTATCAATTTGGCTTTCGAAAGGGATATTCCACGGAATATGCAATTCTCGAAACTGTAGAGAACTTGAAGTCAGCAATTGACAGTCAACAAATTACATGTGGTATATTCTTAGACTTTTCTAAGGCCTTTGACACAATTAACCATCATATTCTCTTAGGAAAATTATACAAATATGGGATCCGAGGAGTCCCCCATGCATGGTTTTCGAGCTATATAACTAATCGTAAGCAATATGTCAAAGTTGGTAATACAGAATCTAGCCTGAAAACTATTACATGCGGTGTACCCCAAGGCTCCACACTAGGTCCGTTGCTGTTTCTGTTGTATATTAACGATTTGCCTAGGTCTTCAGAGAAATTAACTTTTAGGATTTTTGCAGATGATACAAATATGTTTTATTCTTCAAAAGACCCTGAGCAGCTCCAATCAGTTATTGATGAAGAACTTAGAAAGGTCTTAAAATACTGTGCAGCAAATATGCTGTCAATTAATTTCAAGAAGACTAATTATATGATTATTACTTCACTTAAAAAGAGAACAAATATCAGAATAACAGCTTGCAATATAGAACAAAAATCTCAGATAAAATATTTGGGGGTTTTTATTGATGAACATTTAAAATGGGATGCTCAGCTCCAGCACATAAACAATAAAATAACAAAAAACATCGGAATTCTATTTAAGCTTAGACATTATTTACCTGTGAGCACACTCAAACAACTGTACTATACTCTCATATATCCATATCTAACATATGGATTGATGTGCTGGGGAACTGCATACCAAACCAGGTTAAATAAAATCAAAATAAGTCAAAACAACGGTATCCGCAGCATCTTCTTTGCTAGCAAAAGAGAAAGTTCTACACCATATTTCACACTATTAGAAATCTTAAGATTAGAGAATATTTTTAAATTAAAAATTGGCTCTCTTGTGCATAAAATTCAATATCAAAAAAAGAATATACCTCCAGTCCTCTATGATCTAGCCCAACCGGCTTCACCTGTCCATAATTACTCTACTAGGTATGCCACCAATCAAAACTTGTACAGACCATTCTCTAGAACCAATTATGGTCCAGCAAGATTTAGTGTGGTGGCATCACAGATCTGGCAAACGATACCTATCAAAATAAAGTGTCTCCCTGCCAAAAGCTTTAAAAAAGAATATAAACTCTTCCTACTTGGCAGGCAGACATCTTGAACAACTTTAACCTATCATAGAGCTCTATTTTACTATTTTAACTATTTAGTATATGTGCTATCTCCTTAAGTGTATTTAACTTTCACCCATCCGTAACTGCTCTGTGGTAGTGGCCAACTCGAAAGCTCGGCTCCTTTGGCTTCTACACACTCTTTCCACTGCTTTGTGAAAATTCATGTATAGTTAGAACTCTCTTCTTTTTTTGTTTTTCTACTTTTTCTCTTTCTCGTTGTTGTATTTTAAGTAGAATAAGTGTGAATAAAAGAGTGAATGAATGAATTTTTATCATTCACTGCGCGTACTGTTTATTATTTGGAATTTCGAAACGGACAAGTTAAAGAATTGGCAGTGTAGTTTCAAGGCAAATTGAGGTTTGGAGTCCACTGTTGTTCCTATGAAAGTTATTTTCATGTTTTTGACGCACGCTCGAGATGTCATGGAGGAATGAAATATAAATGAATAAAGGCTGATAGTTTCGAAAGAAACTGTTTGGGGCTGCGTCGGTGGGAGTAACGAAATAATTTGGTTATATCAACAAAGTTGAAATGGTAAATTGGCCACCGTAACAATTACAAAAGCTGACGTTTCGAGCGTTAGCCCTTCGTCGGAGCGAATAGAGGAATTGTGGGTTGTGTGTGTTTTTAAAGGCAAAAAATGGAGCTACGTTATTGGTGGGAACATGGCAACGAGAAAAAACAAGAATAAATTAGTGGACTAAAAAGCGTTCGTTGATCCCAGTGGGATTTAGACTGCCGGTTTGAAAGATGAGCTTTTGTTCAAGATTTTTACGGTTTTCCGTGCTACCTAAGTGCAAGGAAAGACCGTAGATTGCCATATGTTGCTTAGAATGATTAGGTAAATTAAAATGTCTAGCGACTGGTTTCGATGTGTCCTTGTCATTCCTTTCCACGTCTCGAAGGTGTTCTCGGAATCGGTCACCGAGTCTTCTGCCTGTTTCGCCGAGATATATCTTTTTGCAATAAGTGCAAGCTATGCAATAGATTATATTAGCTGAGGTGCACGTGAAGTGATCGGTGATCTTAATGGATCTTTTAGGTCCCGATATTTTATCAGTGTTGTGAATGAAAGGACACGTTTTGCATCGTGCACGAGCGCATTTAATAGTGCCTGGTTGGTCATTAGTCTGAAAAGAACTTATGACCAAAAAATTGCCTATGTTTTTGTCGCGTCTGAGTGAGCGAGGCTGCGATGCAAAACGTGTCCTTTCATTCACGATGCAAAACGTGTCCTTTCATTCACGGTGTTGATATATCCAAATTATCTCCACTCCACAGTTTACATAAAAGCTAAACGTCACCAGTCGCATTATCTTCATCGTTTTTAAGTAACTTGTTCAGGATGTCAAACAAATCTGGGGACGCGACGAAGGCTTTTCGTTGCTTGGAAATGGTTTTTTTTTTTTACCAGTCCTGATGATGTTGTTGCGCTGACAAGGGTCTGTTTTGTGATTGCGTCAACGTCACGCAGCGCAGCGAGCACAGTTTCTATCGCTGGCGATTTTCCAGTTCCCGGGTGGCCGACAGACATGGTGTAAATGTTTAGGGGCTGTAAATGTGTCCCATTAAGGAAGTGCGCGTCACTGTTGGCTAACAGACATGAAGTTGCCGTTATGAGTGATGGAAGCAGATGACCAACGGAGCTACCTATGGATTTGGCTTTGGCTTCCAAGAACTTGAACACAGCGTCGGAAAACAGCTCCTCATAATTGAAAGCGATGCCTGAAACTCTACGATGAAATGAGGCCCGTGTATTTTCATTTTGACGCGAAAGACGAACGATTGGATTTGACATTGTGTCCCGTTAGCAACCATAGGTGTATAGCCGTTAAAAGAGCAATGCGCTGAGATTAAGAAAGAAAATGAGGAGGAAAACAAAAGAAATATATGAGCCGTTTCGTTTTTCATGAGTAAATGAAATAGCTTCTTTAAACTGATAATAGTTCATTAAGAATTAAACAGTGAAAAATGTGAGAATGTCGCGGCAATGGAAATAGAGAGCAAAGCGCGGAGATTAAAAAGAGCAATGTGCCGAAATTAAGAAAGAATATTGGGAGGAAAACAAAAGAAATATGTAAGTCATTTCGTTATGCATGAGTAATTGAAGTAGCTTCTTTGAACTGATGATAGTTGTTAGAAGATGAA